AGACAGGTCAGATCCTCTGTATCGTATGTCACATACTGTATCTACTACACCTTACTGTACAGTATCATATACCGTCACATACCTGCTACATCTTACGGTACCGTATGTTACAGATCTGCTACATCTTGTACCATATGTCACTTATCACGTTATATTATATGTTCTAGTAATTCTGTACATCTAGTATGACAAATGCATTGTGAAAAAAAGATTTTAACTCCTTTAGGCCACACCAATTTAATTTCTTGGTTAACGGATTTTAACGGAAAATAATGGAGCGGGCGGGCGAACAAAAAATAAAAATAAAAACAGGCCTGGACATCCTATTATGGCCCAAAATGGTACGATAGGAGCTATGAAGTCAACACACCAGGCAGGTTCAAAATTTAAGCAATGAATTTTGAAATTTTAATGATACCACTGCATTGAAAGATGGAATGACTGTAACAAGTAGTAATTAAGAAAAGGACTGTTTTCAACTGTTCAGGGAAAAATATGAGCATTTTGCAGTTGATTCTGAATTTTTATTTTTATTTGCAAATCAGAAAAAAATGAAGCGGCGAATCCGTTAACCAAGAAATTAAATTGGTGTGGCCTTAACTTAATATTGTATACATGTATTATCATGTATTTACAAAGGTATCATCTACAAAATTATTGTATTGGGAAAATTCTTTGATCCCACATCCTGTGTTCTCACCTGTGGTTGAATGGGAGGTGGTTGAGACTGGTCAGTGGGTGGGGGCTGGACAGTCAGAGTGGGGACGGGCTGGCGTGGTCTGGGCTGGACAGCTGGTCTGGACTGCTGAACGAAGATCAAAACATACAATTCAATTTTGACCGACATGTTCTACTGCTGTACATGCATTCATTTTGTAGTGGTTTTACTTCATCCACGACAAGAACTTTTTGTATTATTTGATGTCAGGTCTTGAACAACTCTGAAGTACAGTAGAACTAAAAGAAAACATATATTTGCAGTGTTATGAGGTTACTGGAAAAATAAAACCACTGCGAAGTTTCCGCATTTATAGTAGACTTCTCAAAATACATCAACAGGAGGCCAGAAAAAAACACAGTTTATACATGACAGTGACCATTTCTGCCCTGCTCATGACTACATGTACATGTACCTCCTCCTGTGGCTGTTGTGCTGGCTGGTTGTCCTGGTCAGTAGACATGGGCTGGGCAGCTTCACTCCCCGACTGGTCACCACCTTCCATGGTTGGCTCATCATCATCATCATCATCTGGGGCAGACAACATTGGTTAGGTTAGTCATTGGCATCCCCACAGAAAAAAGCATTGTCCTAAACAGATTTGAGTGTATTTGGGATTTTTGTAACCAGGTCTTCAAGTTCACCCCATTCCTTTTGACATCATGTAATTCTACCTGTCAATCAGACACCAAGGTACTAATATGTTGAGTGAAGAACATTCCAGAGTTCAAGCTGTAGTGCTTGTTCTCCCCATTCTTGAAGACTTACCCACAATCTCCACCACGTCCTCATCACTGCCCTGGTCCTCCTCCCCAAGCTCCTCCTCCTCCTCCTCCTCAGCATCCTCCTCCTGCATCTCCTCTCCAGACTCCCCTTCCTCACCCATCTGTAGGGACACGGATGGTATATCAAATGTTTTATACAAGATAAGACAAAAAGCAACACACAAGAAATGTCTCCCACAGTGGAGTCAATTGAGCATTTTGTAAAAAGGATTTGGGAAACAGGTCTCTTCTTTAACTAGCTTTTACCTCATAAGTCTCTTCCTCCTCCTCTTCTTGTTCTTCCTCCATTTCCTCTTCTCCTTCACTCCCTTCTTCCACATCATCTTCATAGTCTTCATCATCTACACTGTCCCCTTCCTCATATTCCTAGCAGTAGTCAAAATGAATTTGAATGATTGAATGAATGAATGAATGAACATTTTTCAGTGTTCTGTATAACTTACTAATCAGATGGTGGTGACTGTTTGCTTTGATACATCTGCATTTAAAAGGGTGGGGGTTCAAACCAAAGACTTAAGAAATGGTACTGTACATCTTCAACTACTTA